TTAGGGGCCGAAACACGTTTGGTCTTCAGTAGGAAAGTGTTTACCCATCGTATGTATTAGTATTTGATAAGTTTTTATAAGTCTGATGCTTAGATAAAGATTTTTATCAGTATATGTTTTAACATGTGTAAAGGTAAAGGTTCCCTTGCTCGAACGCCAGTCGAATCCGACTCTCAAGGGGGAAAGGAAGGAGAAACAATATTTTTTGGAACAATATTATTTTCATACGCTACAGACTTGCCTCAGCTTTAAACCCAGTTTCCAACCTACACCAGTTTTGTGTTGTGGTTAAGGGCGCGGACTCTAGTCTGGGAGAACCGGGTTTGATTCCCCACTCCTCCACACGCAGCTGCTGGTGTGACCTTGGGTCAGTCACAAGTTCTCTCAGAGCTGTTCTCTCAAGGACAGTCCTCGAAAGAGCTCTCTCAGCCTCACCTACCTCACAGGGTGTCTGTTGTGGGGAGGGGAAAGGAAAGGAGATTGTAAACCGCTCTGAGACTCCTTTGGGTAGTGAAGGGTGGGGTATAAATCCAATCTCTTTTGCAGACTCCCAACATTTTGTGATTGGTGCCACGTGACAGGTGCCCCGTTCCCCAAACCCCAGAACTGCCCACAGGTTCAATAAGATTTGGGACCCTGACTCAGAGCCACAGATCCAACGGAAGCTCTCTCAGCCCCACCTGCCTCCCAGGGTGTCTGTGGTGGGGAGGGGAAGGGAAAGGAGACTGTAAGCCGCTCTGCGACTCCTTTGGGTAGTGAAGGGCCATGGGGTATAAGTCCAATCTCTTTTACAGACTCCCAACATTTTGTGATTGGTGCCACGTGACAGGTGCCCCCGTTCCCCAAACCCCAGAAATGCCCACAGGTTCAATAAGATTTGGGACCCTGACTCAGAGCCACAGATCCAACGGAGTAATGTAAAATATACTACAGAAGCAGAAGGAATGCGGAAGCTCTTTCCAATGACAGGATACCCCTTGGGACTCTAGCTGAGCACCATTTTAAAAGTAACTGTGTTAAAGTACTTTGTTTATACCTCCCCTTTCTCCTTAATGGGGACCTAGAGCAGCTTACGCGTTATTCTCCTCCACTTAAGCACAGACGACTTTTATCACTGCTTCGATCTGTCTCTGCACTAGGCTTTCCCCCCCTCTGAGGGGTTTAAACCAGCATACTAATTATGTAATAATTATTTCCTCATTTTAGTATCCCACACACACACACACACACAGAGAATGGTTCAGTGCTCTGATTTCTCACAGCAGCGGCATGAACAAAATGGCTGCCACACGCCTCAGTTTGCTGTCTTGTTTATACCTCCCCACTTTGTTTATACCTCCCCTTTCTCCTTAATGGGGACCTAGAGCAGCTTACATGTTATTCTCCTCCACTGAAGCACAGACGACTTTTATCACTGCTTCAATCTGTCTCTGCACTAGGCTTTTCCCCCCCCTCTGAGGGTTTTAAACCAGCATACTAATTATATAATAATTATTTCCTCATTTTAGTATCCCACACACACACAGAGAGAATGGTTCAGTGCTCTGATTTCTCACAGCAGCGGCGTGATCAAAATGGCTGCCACACGCCTCAGTTTGCTGTCGTGGTTCAGTGCGCGGACTCTAATAAGAACATAAGAACATAAGAGAGGCCAATGTTGGATCAGGCCAAAGGCCCATCCAGTCCAACACTCTGTGTCACACAGTGGCCAGAAATACCAGTGCCATCAGGAGGTCCAGCAGTGGGGCCAGGACATTAGAAGCCCTCCCACTGTTGACCCCCCCCAAGCACCAAGAAGACAGCAGAGCATCACTTGCCCCAGAGCCGGGAGAACCGGGTTTGATTCCCCACTCCTCCACTTGCAGCTGCTGGATGACCTTGGGCAAGCCGTAGCTCTGATAAGAGCTGTCCTTGAAAAAGAGCAGTTTCTGTCAAGAGCTCTCTCGGGCCTGCCTACCTCACGGAGTGTCTGTTGTGGGGAGGGGAAGGGAAAGGAAAGGAAATTGTGAGCCGCTCTGAGACACCTTTGGGTAGTGAAGGGAGGGGTATAAATCCAGTCTCCTCCTCCACCACCTCCTCCTCTTCTTCTGTGACCTGAGGTATTTCCAGGACTTTTTTTTCTGGGAGAATGTGCCGGAACAGAGTTCCAGAACCTCTTCGACAAAATTCTTTTAAAAATGTTTAAAGGTTCATGGATTTTCAGCATAACCGATTGAAAAATTCATTTCCCTCTTGGGAGTTCTGGCGCCTCTTTTTCAAAAAAGAAGACGCCGGTATTTCTAAGCAGCAAGTGTAGTCCATGACTTCTGGAGATCGGTGAGTAAGTGGACTAGAGATTCCAGTTGATCATGAGCAGGGGGCATACCTGTTCCGTGACATTATTATTTCGGGAGTGCGATTTAGCTTGTATGCAAATAATGGTTCTCTGTTTGGGAACAGAGGAGGGAGAGCTTGTACCTGAATAAAACTTGGTCTTAAAGGTGCCACTGGACTGTTTTGGACCGGGGGGAGCTCTGCAGCAAGTGTAGCCCATGACTTCTGGAGATCGGTGTGGTTACACATGAGTAAGTGGACTAGAGATTCCAGTTGATCATGAGCAGGGGGCATACCTGTTCCGTGACATTATTATTTCGGGAGTGCGATTTAGCTTGTATGCAAATAATGGTTCTCTGTTTGGGAATTACGTGTTTTGGTTTTTCCTAGACTGTCCTAACAAATTCTGGAAAGTGGGCCGTGCTGAGCCAGAAATAGCCATTTCTCCAAGAGTGCTGGACAGACAGATCAAAAACGGAGCCAGGTAAAAAGAAGTTATGTATCTAAGTTATATATGTGCTGTAGCAGTCCGTCGTCCATCAGCTTTGTTACATATTGATATCCAGGGGTCATTTCGTAGAAAAAGAGGTGCAGGAGCTCATTAACATAACTCATTTGCATACGCCACACCCCCTGACATCACCGGAAGTGTGTCAGAAGGCCACACCCACCGCTCAGGCTCCACTGGACTGTTTTAGATTGCTAGCTATTGGGGGGGGGCATGCAGATCTGTCCTCGCAGAGGAGGGAGAGCTTGTACCTGAATAAAACTTGGTTTTAAAGGTGCCACTGGACTGTTTTGGGCCGGGGGGCTCTGCAGCTTACCTGGCTGCTTCTTGCTCTGACTGAGGGCTGCTGGGAGCAGGGGGCGGGGCTTGTTGCATGTGCCCGCCCCCTGGGCTCTTTACCGCCAGAGCTCCGCTCCTGTGCGCTCCTGCAGGAAATGACCCCTGTTGATGTCCTGAATACATAGTTCAGTGGCTACATCTGGTTGCCAGCGTTGCAGTCTTCCCCCAGTATCCCTGTAGGCAAGGCTTTTAAAAAAAGTTGAAACCCTGCAAAGCTCTCTTCTGTTACATTATGCAAATATCTGCATATTTTATGTTTGCTGTTTTTACTGTTTTGCATAGTTTATATGCCTAGTTTATATGGTCCAAGGCTAGCCTGCAGTCCTCAGACCTTGGAGGGTAAGCACGAGGTTGGCCCTAGATAGTACTTGGATGGGGGGACCACCAAGGAAATGCAGAATCTCTGCACAGAGGCAGGCAATGGAAGGTCTCTTGCCTTGGGCCTGCCATGTGTGGGCTGTGATTTGAAAGCACATTCCACAACCACAGAATTGGAGGCTAGCTTTTTGAACTCTGAAAGCCTTATTTGGCCCACCCTTTTCGCTTTTGAACCACAGGTCATCCTATGAGCACTGACTTGGCCTGGTGAAGACGGAGGCATAAACTACTCCCCCTCCACCCCAC